GGGACTCATAATTTTATTTTGCGTAAGCATTGATTTGATTGAATAAAACATTTTGACGGAATTTCTGATGGATCAATCTTACCGCGGACATTTTCAGTTTAAATAATTAAGAATAATTGAATATCTCAGATTCGAGTTATACATATACGGTAGAATATATTTATAGTTGTATTATTTATTTACACGAGTAATTTACGATGATTTTACTTCGGGCCATTCATTAACTTTTATGCGGACCGAATGTACGACCCAGGAAAATATAGGGTGTTCAAAATACACCCCGTGTCCCGTAACCATGTCTCCAAACGACGCCCTTGACGTGAAACACTTACAAAATTATACGTGACTCCTTTGTGAAGGACATCGCGAGAAGAAACACGAATATATGCAACGAGCATCGACCGTGAGGTTTACGAAAATTTCGATAATTTGTTTGGTCGAATTTATTGTCACCTTCTCAAACGTATCATATGAAAACAGTAGAAATAAATCATTACGTATTTACAATCAGCTCATAACAACCCGCTATAGTTATCGTCCGCAGTAACGTTTCGCGCTCCATTAGCTTAATGGACCTGGCCTCCGTCGCGCCTTCGCCGTCATTGTAAATCCCCGGCGAAAACAATCCCGTCGACCCCACGGTAACCTAACCGGAAGACGACCCTTTGGCGGACCGGAACAAAAGGACGGATTCCGGGAAAAGACGTCACCCGCTGATCCCCAACGAATAATGACGTACTAAAAAAATATAAATAAAATACAACCTCCCGCGCGGATTTGTTTTTACCATTCGTGAGCCCTTTTTTTTTTTTTCCTTTGATTTCAACGATAATTCTGAGCTAATAGAAAACATCAATTCTATAGCTGTTTTACGTTGGTGAATTTTTGAAATTTAATTGATTACTCGGTCGTTATCTTGATTTTAATCAAAGATTTAAATGTGCAATCAACATTTCGAACAATATTATTTTATCGTGCACTCGCGTCTAATATCGATAATTCAAGAAAATTCATTATTCACGCGTAAGTTCACAATGTTTAATGAAACCACAAAAAAAAAATTAGTTTGAAAAAAAACACTTTTAAAATCATAGTTAAAGCGGCGTTTAGTGATTTATTTAAATACATTGGTAAATGATTATTTGATGATTTTGTTATTAATGCAGATATTTACGTGTCATAAAAACCTTTAAATGCAGTTAAATGGATCAAAAAAAAAAATAAAAAATAAAATCTATTTGTTTTAAAAGTATTTAAAATAATCGTTTTCGCTGTCGTTGATTTATTAGCTTATTGTGTTAATAACAAAATGCCGATTATTTACGATTTTTCGGCTATTTTAAATACTCGAAAACGATAGTTCGAACGAGTGTAATTTAATTCCCCGGATTCTAAAGCCCGTTTATTTAATTCTTCTGTTTCTCGTGTGTTTGAGAACTGTATGGTGAAGAACGGTGAAAATATAGTATATAGGTAGTTCGACGCCGTGGAAAACCGTGTGTTGTGAATAGATATGGCGTAAGTCCAGACGCGTTCCGAACGCCCTCCGAGCCCGCAACGGGTACGTTTTTTTTTAATTTTAAAATCGTATATTCTTTATCGAACCTCTCGGTTTCCACCGTCGGTATAGCGTAACACCGGTCGTCGGTCGTCTTCCCCGCCAACACCCGATTTCGGACCTGTCCCGTTTCTCGAATACGCGGTTCGTACGTATGACGTGCACCGCGGCGAACGAAACATCCGAAACGACAAAGCGTGTAACGCCGATTCACGAAATTCTAGAAATATCGTTATCTCGTGGAAATCGGTTAGGTCCAAATCGGCGTAGGGTCCTCTTTACGGTGTACGATGCGCGCGGACGGCCGCTCGCAGACGACGACCGATACGGGGGACAGTCGTTAGTTTTTTCGGGCGCGCGCTCGTCGGGCCAATTACTAAAATTATGATTATGTCGTTAAATACAATACGCGACAACGATGACGAGTGAAAGGAACGGCCGCGAAAAACTCCCTCGGGAAAGAACTCGCATTGATGTTTCGGGCGGGGAGTGGGAAGCGGGTGAATCTCGTACAATAGGTATTTTTTAGGCTCGTTTTTTTTTTTTTTCTTTTCTCTCCGGGATGCTACGACCGCATTATTCGTAACGCGTGCGATACGCGAAACGACGATAATGCTAATAATAATAATAATATCTTTTGTTCGCGCGCGTGTGCGTATGTGTGTGTAACGCGACGTGGCCGCCGCTGGAAGCCTACAAAGTCCTCGGAGCGACCGAATCGGCGGCGGCGGCCGCGAAAATTGAAAACGAATACGAGGCGGCACGTGGCGTCGCCGGACGGACGACACGCGCCGTTTCATTAGGTCGATTATCGACGGGCCGGAACGACCGCGAGTATAATATTATGTACTTCCGGACGGCGGGACGACACCCGGACACCCGTGTGGTACACGTCATAATCGAATATTATGTACCGGGTGACCGTATATTGTTTTGTTATTATAATATTAAATTTTCCGTCCGATCGAATTCCCCGCCGCCGCCGCCGCGGTTATTGTAGCCGCGGCGATCGCGCGCGGGATCAGACAAACAAAACAAACAAAAAAAAAAAAACCACTCCCCGCCGATTTGTTTGTGCCGCGCGCGTGCCGTACGGGTCGTCCGACACTGTACGCGGGTGTAACGATTACTTACGGCGGCGTTTAGTCGGACGGCGTTTCGGTTATTCCGCGCGCTTATCTCGATAATTAAACCGGCGTGAAACCACGCCGACGATACGAGAATTGCGAGAAGGAAACGAGTCGGGAGAGAGCCCGCAGTTTCCGGTTTCCGAACGGTCCATTTCTCGCGGTTCATCGTAATATAAAATTAACTATATAGGTAATAATAATATTCTCGTACGTTGGCCAGTACGAGTGCGTGTTCAATACGTATTTATTTACTTCTTGTCGACCGTATCAACGTCCGTAACTATGTGTAGGGGTAACTGTGCGGGCGGACGGGCACAACGGGGATATTAAGCGTCTAAACTTGTGTTGTACGCCACGGACGTGCCACTGTTTCGGAAAGCAAGTTAGATACGAAGATAGACGGAATTTAATTTTCGTAATGTTTACGTACGTTTTAATGAAAAATGATTGTTATTATCCGAGTATTATTGCCCTTTTCGCCGAAGTAACCCGGGAACCGACGAAAAGTTATACAAACATTTTAAATTTTGCCGTTTATCAAGAAAACAACTCGTAAAACCAAAAAAGACGTTCTAGGATAATGAGAACGGGTGCAGCCACTGTTATAAGTAATTTAATGTATGGCTGTTAGCAACGATTAACCGTTGCTAACGAACAAATGATACTGAGCGGCGTTCAACTGATAGTGATGCTTTGTCAACAATATATATGCCATATTATGGTAAAGTAATTAAATAGGCTTTCGATATTTTTTTTAATAGTTTAATAGTTTTAATACTGATTTTCCCAGTTTTCCTACGTTTTCCCCGGTTTTTCACATTTACCAGAAAAACTTGGAAAATCGAAAAACGACCACCTTAATGTGCCTCCCCACACCGATTTCCTTTCAGAAAAGATGCTACTCGTAAATATCGGAACAAGTTCTCAAAACCATAAGTTTCTTCGCTCCAATTTGAATCTAAAATTAAATTAATGAAATATGAGATTAATATAAAAATGAAAATAAAAACAAGTTTGCATTTGTGTGTGATTGAAATACAGGTTCAACTTGGGATCTCAACTAGTTTATTCAAAACTACTTCTGAGATTTCTTTTGGAATCTCGTTAATGTTTACGTTACTTGAATGCTAATTCCCGGGCAGTCATATTTTCGATAATTTTAACGGTGTATTCGAATTCCATAGTGTGACCACTATAATTCAGTGTGCTTAACAAACTATTTACATTATTTGTTTAATTTTAATCAATTTTTTCACGATACTGTAAATTTAAATGATTCTATTATCTATTGTTATGAAATATGGTCACAATTTGTAAACTTACCGTGTTTATGGTATTGTTTTAAAGATGATTTTTGTAACAATGACTGCCTAGTATCCATTAATAATGATAATGCAATCAACAATCAACTAAGATATTATTATACTCAAACCATTTATACCATACGTTGATCTGATATGATTATCATACTATATCATTAATTGTTAAGTAAAATAATTATTATTTGTATAACTTAATGAGACTTTAAAAAATATTATATTATTCGATATGAGTACGAATGAGAAATAACTTTCAAGTTCCTATGTAAAGAGCAAAGTTTCTACTATTATTAATTTTTAATTTACTATATACTTACGGCTGTTATTAATTATATTACTTATATTAATAGTTTTGTTATTACTCCTATTAAAAAATTGAAATTTATGTATTTCCTATATAAAAAATGAAATTGTTACAATTTATTATTTTTTAATTTACAATATATTTATGGCTTTGTTTTTACTGTTAATTCATTAAAAAATTTGACTATAATATTAGTTGTTTAATACATTATAATTACCTCATAATACCTATTATAAAAGATCCCTATTAATAAAAAAATTAAAATTATCAATTTTTCAAATATTATTTAGGTGTTATGGGTAAACCGAGTAATTAAAATTTGTTTTATGTGTTACGTATATTCTGAGACTCATTTTAGAATACTATGTCGTAAGGTAAATCCATTAATTTTTTTTTTGGTATAGTACTCACCACCGCCATGAGATTACAAAAAGAGTCTCGCCTAAAAGTCTAAAATCACCGTACACACAAGGTCATATTAAACATATGTGTGCAATTTCGAAAAGGTTATTCAATTTTTTTTCCAAAAGAAAATTTAAATAAACTTCTCGAAAAACTTGTGGTGTTAGTGAGTAGATCGCCGAGACCCCAAAAATAATCTCATGGCGGTCAACCCGTTAACGAAGTCTGTATTCACAGCAGCACGGATCCGGTCGCGAGGTTCCAACTGCGATGTTAACTGGACGATGTTACGCCGGACACCGTGACTTTATAGAGTTAAAACCGCTACACGGGCCGAAAACCAGTGACCGGATTCGGGCGGACGTGTACCGTAAGGAAAATTTAATTTTCTTCACAAACAAGCAGTACAGACAATATTCGTGGACTTTCTGTGGCCGCTCCCCAGGAGCTGTTTCGGTCCAATAATGTCCGTAACTTCGGTAGAGTCCGAACATCAGAGCGATGGCGATCGCAAGCGCGATCAACAGCAGCGCAGATGAGTTGCACCTCGGTTTACTGAGAATTCCGATTTCTTTGTTCGGCCAGCGTTTGGGCTTCGGAGAGCATCGGCAACACTGTCTCTGATTGACGTAGTCGTCAAATTCTTCACTGAGAACGTGGTCGTATAGTTCTTCTCTGGGCAACGGCATTTTATTGTTAAAATAACGCTTTAGAAATGTTGGTATAATTCAATTATCACAAAAAAAAAAAAAAAACGAATTAACAAAACGATTTGGAACAATGCGTAGAAACGTGTTATTATAATAATATTAGGATTTCGAATGTTTATGAAATTGCATATTTTTTACTGTTTATCCAATGAAATGCTTACCAGGATACAAATTCGATTCATGTTATACCAAATCAAATAATACTATTTTTATTTTGCATATTTGTACATATTTTATGATTTTGAATTTTATATGCAGATTCCAGGGTTTTTAAAAAAAATAAATGCATATTTCAGAACGTTTTTGAATTTTTTTAAAAACAATTTAAATTAATAACGAAATATAATTTCAAAAAAGCATAAAATTTAAACAAATTAAAAAAACCATTGTATCACAGTGAAACGTTTTTATTGTAAATTAATATGTTATATTAAAAATATAATAAACAAAAAAAAAACTCATACAAATTAAATACTTTCGGGTAAAACAAATTTTTGTGTTCATATTTTGGTATTTTTTTTTTTTTTTTTAGTAAAAATGCATAGTTTATGATTTTTAGTGCATATTTGGTAATTTTTTGTGTATATATGCATACGTATTACAATTATTTATGGTAACATACACATCCGAACTCTAGTTATAATTATCAAATAGAAATGAAAAGAAATTAATATTGTAACTCATGTATTCATGCAGAATAGAAAACACATCCAAGTAAACTGCACAGCATCCGTAACTATATGCGTTTCGTTTCTAAATAAGCTTTTTCGGAATGGTGTTCCTAGTGCAAAATATGATTCATTATTTACTTTTACTACTTTTTTTTCCCCGGGATTTTTTAAATTAAATTTTGTTTTTTTTTCCCCCGGGATATAATGGAAAAATGCTCGGCGAGTGTTGCTAAACGAATTGGATCAGTATACGGTTCTGAAAAACGTGTTAAACCTGTAGGTCAATACGAAGAATGTTTAGGTTTTACTATGATTGAATTATGTATTTATTTATGCATTTTTTTTTTTTTTATCTGATAATAATTTTCTTATCAAAAATCTTGCACCAACCATGAACTATGGAGATAGATTCATCCCCAATCAGGGATTGGTGCGTTGAGAAAATAATTATTTAGTGTATCTTCTTTGTAGTTTTCTTATAGGTAGTTTTATAGGTAATTGGGGAAAAAAACCAGAACATTTATATTGGATTTTTATAGACGTAGTCAAATTTTCAAATATGTTTGGCGGTTTTTAAACTATTCATAGATATTAGGATATTTTTTTTTTTTAATTTTACTTGATTTTAAATTAATAAAATGGTTTTCGCCTAAGCAAAAAAGCTTTCAAATTTTACACGAGGTTCGTCATAAGTAGTACTTAGTGAAAAAAAAAGTTGAGCATTATAAAGTAGTTTTTATAGATAAGCTTTATCTAGTTCTATATTTTTTACGAAAACTTATAAATCCGTGGCATTTCAAAATATCTTTAACCGAACTCAGAAACGTTTTTCGTTAGCAATGATTTATCGTTGCGTACTGATAACAATTGATTAATCCTATGCATCCTATATTTTTTTAAATGTCTACCTACAATAGTGGCACACTCACCGGCAGTATCAGTTGTTTTTTTATTTTTGTTTTCATACAATACGGAAAAACTCGTAACGATTTGAAATGGTTTTAAGGTTTTAACTTAAATAGCTAAGGTGATTAGACATCACGGTGAAATCAGCGGATTTTTAAATTATAATTCTAATTTGATGAATTTTAAACGTTTTTAGATTCTGCGCAGAGCGTGTATTAAATGTATTTATTTTACAATGATGTATATTTTTTTTCTGTAAACTACTTTTCTACCAGCTATTTTTCTCCGATTTTCAAGTATAGCACATTTTTTGAAAGGAAATATCTTTGGGGTGGTACTTTTTTTTGAGGAGTTCATATTTGATTTTCCCGGGAGTTTTCATAATAAATGGGTAAAACGGGAAAACGTACGAAATGTGTTATTTTAAAATCGTAAATATTACGAAACACGTATAACCGAACTCCGCTCAGAATCGTTTTTTGGTGAACAGATATTAATCGTTGCGTACAGCGATGTACATTAAATTACCCTATATATCCTATCTTCTCGACTTCTCGTCTATAACAGCGGCCCATCCATCGTGCAAAGTACGAGTATGTTCCGTATTAATTTTTTTTTCTTCGATTTCACGACCCCCTCGGTTGCGCGTGGAGAATACCTGTACCGCGGTCGATATGCTAACCAATCAAACGTATATGTACAGTATACATAACCGGACGTTAAAACGAGCTCAATCGGAATCGTTTTTTTCGTGGCTATAGGTGATATTATTTCGTTCGTTCAAATATATAAATCGAATTCCGGTCGAATAATCGTTACGTCATCACACACACACACACGCACGCGTTCTAGATTATAGAATAATATTTTTTTATGACCTATACGCGCAGCACGCGCAAAACACAACAGCCGCCAAGAGACCAATCGATATTTCCGACCGTCGTAGTCGTCGTCGTCGTTGTCGCGGTCGTCGTTGTCGTCGGATTAATTCGATTTGCCGCTTGCTGCCGCGGTCGCGTCGTCGTCGTCGTCGTCGTCAGTGACCGGAGAGAGAAAAAAAAAAACAAATACCTTCGCGTCCGGTGACATTGACGCGCGAAGCCATCAATCGACCGTCTCGGGTTACCGATACACACCTAACCCATTGCCACGGATTCGTGACCGCCGCGGAAAATTCGTTTTTTAAAACTTCATTACCCGCGCACACAACATCAACGCGCCCGCGCGTTAAACTACACAAACAACGGCGATTTTTTTCGTAAGCGAACCCGTGCCGAACCGGAGCGCCCGGGGAAACGGAACCGTTCGAACAGTGTACGCTTACCTATTGTGTATCTTGTGTGACATTGAGATATCCGTCACGCGTTGATTCGGCAACAAAATATACCCGTACTTAATACAAGGCCTCCTGCGAAACGACGGCGATCAATACGAGATTTTTATTAGGCTCGCGCCCGACAATCGTGTAAGCAGAATAATCTTGTGCGGGCATAACGTATGTTGGTAATACGCTAGTGTATAATAAGTATGGCTGAGTGAAATATAATAATAACGCAAAAAAAAAAAAAAAATTAAAATAAAATTGGCTACACACGTTTGAAAATCATATCAATTCAAATACAATCGAACTAAACAAAATGAAGGGCGTCATTTGTGAGCTTCGTGATGCGGCTTATAGGCTCATTACCGAGATAGTTGGCGGTGCGAAGAGTGGTGAAAAATGGGTTTGAATTGCGAGTGCTTCGGACTGGCATTTTAAAGATAATGAGTGAAAGGAGGGTGGGGGAATTGACGGCATCAGATAAAATTCTTTGAAGGAATACAATGTTATGTGTGTGTCTACGGCCTGCTAAGAATATAATATTGAACTTGAGAAGAACAGGACTATAATTGTGGGGAGGCCAGGTGACATTTAACTTATACAACTTGCGAGAGATAAACATTTTCGTTCAACGACACGTTCCAATGTGTACCTTTCGGCAGCTTTCCGTGGATCCTAGATAACCAAGCCATATTCGAGTATCGGTCTGCCGAGCGAACAGTATAGCGACGTGATCGAATTAGAAAGCTTCAATACAGAAGCAATTGTTTTAATTAAGCTTAGCAACTTAAGAGACTTATAAGTTTTCGTGTTGATATGCGTTTTGGGATTAAGAGAAGGGGCAAATGTGAAGCCAAGGTCATGAGCGGTTTGACCGGCAGAATGGAGTATTGTGCCATTGATCGTATCAGAAAACACATTTGGGATTGACATCTAGTGAAGATCATTTTATGGCATTTAGATAAATTAAGTTTTAAGCCGAGTGTATTGACCGAAAATGAGAAACGGTCAAGATCATCATGGAGCCGTAAACAGTCGTCAAGCGACTTAATTCTGAAATCATTTTTCGATAACTTCCGCAGAGATTCGTACACCGATATTTTTTCGATATATGAAGTTACAGGGATTTAAAATATTCAACATTTTTTTACGGTAATCATTGGAAATTCGATTTTTCCACGTGTCAACAACAACATTTTCTAATACTCGTTTACAAAATTAAATAAATTAAATAATTAATTAACGAACAACGGCCTATACATGACTTGTTTTCTAGAAAAAAGCAATTTCAATCGTAATTATGTTCAAAAAAGCTGGACATCTTATGGGACACATTTGGTTGGATTTTGATAGTTATATTCCTAAACGCTATAATCTGAGTTTTTGAAAAATTTTTACCATTTATATTTTTATATAAACTAAGTTTGGTTGTGATTTTTAATTACATAGTTAAAAATCAAAGTCTCATAATGCTTCTATAGAAATTTGTCCTGAAACGTATTACTGTGCAAGACATAAGTGTTTTTCCAGTAAAACGTGTATTAATTAAAAAAAAAAAAAAAAGGTCATACCGTATAACGATAAATTACAATTTATTAAATTCTTTGTTGACAATTTTAAAGACTTGTTAACATTTACAATTAACAATTGTCCAACATCTTTAGGAATATTAAAGATGGAAATTAATTGTTTATCTGACAAGGATTTACCGAGAAAGTCGGAATATTGGCGGAAAGAAAATTTAAATATTCCACGGCACCACCAAAAATTGATAACGATTTACGTCACGTTCTAGATTTCCGATAGTGCGATGAATGTCGACTACGGAAGTCGCGGGATCCGGAAGTAGACTCTTTATAACCGTTTAAATCGTGAGGGAGACGAAATATAAATAAATATTAACGAAAATCGTCCGAAAAATACGGATAAAGAAGCAGAGTGTTCGGGCGAGCGTCAAACTTTAATTCCCGAATCGTTCAATAGGAATGAATATAAAAAAAAAAAAAAAAAATAATCATAATAATAATAATAATAAATACTCCCCCTCTCCCATCTCTCTTCGCCGCGTACACCGTGACTCT